CCCCCCCCCCCCCCTCGGTAGAGCAGCAGCAAGGAAGACTAGACACGACTGTTAGAAGACATGCTGAGGGAAACACCAGTCTACCAGTCAGAAGCCGTTTTAAGCCACTAAAACTGACAGCAATTTGATCCGACGCCTGTGTTTCTGGCGTGGGATATTGTGAAAATCTGCTCCGAAAGTATCAGTGGAAATGCAAAGTGTGATTCAAAGATGTCATACCAATTTGACAAGTGTGACAGTGTTTTAGAAGGAAAATACCTTGTTCCTATATCCACATTTCTTTCTACTTTGCCCCTGACACCTGCATCTTTCTCTCCTCCTCGTGTTCTTCTATCCTAACCACATTGTTCACTTCTGGTTCTGTCCACAGGTATTGGTCCAGTGCTCGGCCTGCTGTTCATCCCTCTCATTGGCTCAGCCAGTGACCAGTGCAACAGCAGTTATGGAAGGAGGCGGCCGTTCATCTGGCTGCTGTCTTTAGGAGTTCTTCTGGCACTTTTCATCATTCCCAACGCCGACTTACTGGCTGCACGCTTTGCCTGGGGCGGGCGCACCCTCCAGGTAAGGCACCTGCTTCTTGGCTTTTATGAATTCTTCCTACAAGACGGGAATTAACACATATTCTACCATTTGCTACAGGTGGGCTTCCTTATCCTCGGGGTGGGGCTTCTTGACTTCTGTGGACAGGTGTGCTTCACACCACTAGAGGCTCTCCTGTCGGACCTTTACAAGGACGAGGAGGACTGCGGGCAGGCCTTTGCCATGTTCTCCTTCATGGTCAGCTTGGGAGGCTGTGTGGGATATTTGCTCCCCTCACTGGACTGGAGTAGTGGCCTGCTCTCTGTTTACCTAGGAGGCCAGGCCGAGTGCCTCTTCTCCATCCTCATCATCATCTTCGTCACCAGTGTGCTCATCACCATGAAGGTGTCTGAGGAACCCTCGTGTCCCAGCAGCGTCTTGGCGGGACCTGGATCTCTGTTGGAGGCGGGGCCCGGTACGATAGAGGGGGCCCGGTGCGGGGTGCCGCGCTCCTGCTGCTACCTGCTGAAGTGCAAGCTGAGGCTCCTGAAGTCCGGCCCCCTGCTGTGCCTGCTGAGGACCTGCTGGACCATGACCCCCGCCATCTACAGGAGCTACTGCCACGTCCCGCCGGTGATGCGGCAGCTGTGTGTGGCTCAGCTCTGCAGCTGGATGGCCGTCATGTCTTTTATGCTTTTCTACACAGACTTTGTTGGGGAAGGCCTGTACGAGGGCGTGCCCAGCGCATCACCGGGAAGCGTGTCCAAGCAACGATACGATGAAGGTCAGATCTCCTCGTTATACAGTACAATAATGTGTTATGTTAGCTTCATTTCTTCGACCAAGATTTTTATCTTTAACATCTTTTTCTGGGTTCCTTTTTTTGGTCAATTTTTATGTCCCTTTTGTTCCAATTGAAGAAATGAATGCTCCCCTGAAAGAACACATTACACGAGGAAGGGGTGCTTCTCAGCCTCTTGTGGCTGAAATGAGTATTACAACAACAAACAAATTAACCCTGGCATCCTATATTTCCCGGCATGTTACTCAAAATCCATTTATTTAAGGAACTGAGATACAAAATCATTGCAAAGCCTTTTTTAACCTGGTACAGAACTGGTAACACAGTACAGAAAACATTTTCGATCAAACTTTTTTTTCTCATTTGCCTCATCGTGACAACATAGAATGAAACAAACTCACATTGAGCTAGTGAGACATGTCCTTCCTTGGTCAACATGTCTTCACCTCCTCCACCATAAAGTGGCTCGGGGTCCTGGCTGAGCTGTCCCAGCTGGGCAGGATGCTCTCACATTCCTCGGGCACCGGTGGAGGACGGAGCCTGTGTTCCTGCACGCCCTGCTGCTGCTGCTGCCCTCATTTAAGCTCCTGTCAAAGTGTCAGACAGCAGAGAAGAAGTTACCATAGATTCTCTGTCAGGACACTTTAAATGAGATGGTGAACATTTTGTGTAGGTATGCCTTTGGACAAGTATGTTTATCGCATTGTCATTCCAAGGAATTTCAGGTATAACTTCCTACCCTGGCACTTATAAATAGCACCAAATAATACAGCTTTTCCTGTTACATTAGATGACATGTTACTTGTTAGATGCTTGTATCCAAAGCGACTCACATACTCAATACGGTGGGCAATCCCCACAGGAGCAATTTGGGGTGAGGTGTCTTGCCCAGGGACAACGACATGCAGTGGGGTTTGAACCTGTGACCCCCTGATCCGAACACCAACGCTCTCTCCACTGCACCACAGCCTCCTCCTGTCCCTGTTCTTTAAATTTGATTGAGTGTAAAGCTATGCAAATGCTGTGCCTATGTTTCTACCTACTTATAACTTTTTAGATAGACCCAACCAAATCTGGTGTAAGAGGTAGACTTCTTTCTTTGGTAGATTTTAACAGACAATTTGAGAAAGAACCGTAAAAGGGGAAAGGTTCGTAAAAGCGCTATTGTCCATGATATTTATTAACACAGTGAGTCATGTCGGAGTCAAGTGTAGTTTATTGTTCAGCCAAACTTCCTCTCTTCCCCCATTTGTCTCGCCCTTTTTTTCCTTTTCCATCATCCCTCATTCCTTTATGATTTAAATGGTAACTTTCCTACTGCCTTCCACCTGTTTTCTCCTCCCCTAATCCTCATTTTCCCTCTCACACCATTCTCCCTCTTTCATTTCACATTTTCATCCCTCCATCCACATTCTTGTCTTCTCCCTCCCTCCCTCCCTCCCTCCCTCCCTACTTTGTTTACTTTTTACTTTCCCTCTGTCTCTCCTCCCTGTGCCTGCTGGACCACGAGGAATGTCACACTCGCAAAGAATGAATGTCAAGGAATCGGCGCACAAAGAGCATGTTCATTCAAGTCAGGTAGACGGCCAAAGCACACAATTCTGAGGCCTGTCTGAGACTGAGCTGCGTTTGTTTAATCTGAAACACAGCGGATGTTATTTAACCACATCTTACACCCTGCAGATGTTGCTCAAAGTATTCTGCTTTGTCTGTAGTTGCTTGTTGTTTTAACTGTAGCTGCTTTTCTTGTTGTGATCAGGTTCCTACTGGGATACAAAGTAGTTATCTATGAAGCTTTAACCCATAATGCAGCAGTTTCCCTTTGCACAGGTTCAGTAGCATCGTAGCTCTGCCCCGTATCTCGTAGGGTTGTATTTCGGTGCTCATTAGCTTCTGTAGTGTTTGTAAAGTGGGCTCGGCAGCTTTGCTTTCCAGGAGTAATATGATACAGGTACTCCTTTCACGTAAGTGATTCTCTGCTCCGCTGCTGAACTCCTGACCCTCACTGTTCTGAGAGCCGGGAGATCCGGCTGATAGCACGCATAAATAAATAAAAGCCAGACATGTCGTCACTCCCTCTTCCATAGATTATTACTTTAATGAAAAAAACTTGTATTCAGGGGTGAAGCATATGTGTGGATAAACGGGAAAGATGGAACAATTTTCCATCAGTAAACACAAGCCTTAAGGTTAAAATGTATTAAAAATGTTGACATGACTGAAAACTAGCTTTCTGTGATTCTGTCTGAAGATGTAAATGCACATTTTCACATCAAGTGTAGTGGCAGAGGTCAAATAGAGGCTGCAAAAGCTTGTGTAATTGTTCTGGACTGGTTAAAAAACACATTAGGTGACTTTCTTATGAAAAGCAGTTGTAATATTATTGTTTGAGCATTGTGTTTACCTTTAGTGGTAGTGACTGTTGGTTTTTCTCAAGTTTCCCATTGCTACTATGGGTTGAGAATGAGATTGTCATTAAGACACATCACAAGAGTAAAATCACTGATACATGACGGTAAACTGTAACTGACTAAATGTGTTTATTTAGGTTCTCGCATCATCCAAGATCATCTGTACTGACGACATAATAGGACTTAATGTAAATACAACTTCCATTGTATTCTTCCAGGTATCCGTATGGGCAGCCTGGGCCTGTTCCTGCAGTGTGCTACCTCAACCTTCTTCTCCCTGGTCATGAGTCGCTTGGTTCGACACTTTGGTTCTCGGTGGGTCTACATGAGCAGCATGGTGACCTTCACCTTCTCTGCTTTGGTCATCTGCCTGTCCAAAAGTGTGGTCTTGGTCACTGTAATGGCTTCCCTCACTGGATATGCGTACGCCACACTGCAGACTCTGCCCTACACACTCACCTGCCACTACCACAAAGAGAAAGAGGTACGTAAAGATGTCTTAACTATGGAGAATGTGTCCACATGTATTTTTCTAGGCCCTTAATCTGTATATTTTGGTGACTCTCATTTCAGATCTATATGCCAAAAAGGAAAACCAAAAGCGTGCATATAAAAGGTATTCCACCCAAGCGGGACTATTCGCCTCCTGTGGAAGACGCGCTCCCTTTGTTCAACAAGGACAGTTATGAGTACTACCCCGGTCCCCTGAAGCAGAACGGCTCGTCTCACAGCCCCGGTGGCACGGAACAGGAAGAGGTCGAGTCAGGGTTTGAGAAACGTGGCGTTGGTTTGGACTTTGCCATCTTAGACAGCACCTTCCTCCTCTCTCAGGTTTTCCCCACCCTCTTCATGGGCATGATCGTTCAGTTTGCGCAGTCCGTCACTGCCTACATTGCCTGCTCCGCCATTTTTGGTGCCATCGCCATCTATTTGGGCAGTCAAATCATCTTTGACCAAAAAGACCTTAAAAGCTGAGACTTGGAGGTAAAACGTTGGAGCAATGGAATCATTATAATATCAATCATTCAGGTTCCATGGGCGGGAACTCAACAATGCACTACTGATTCCAGAACGCCTTGAAAAGTGTTTGCTTTTATGAAAATAAGCTCTGCGTTCGGGAAGTGTGTGTCAGGTTATAAAAGAGTGGTTACAATAGACTTTTTATCTGCCAATGAAGTGCAGTTCTGTGTTAGAGCGGGTGTTGTTACCTGCTACCTGGAGAGTCAACACCAACTGTGTGCTCAGGTCAGGTGTGGTTCTCTATGGACGCAAATTAATTCTAAAGAAGTCTTTCTAAAAGAGTTTCTGACTAATCGTCTTTTTCCTCAGGTACCACAAACAGATTTACTGTTGATCTCAACCTCAGATACTTCTGTTGTTTTTTTTTTAATGTTCTGATCCTGAACTATCCACCATTTTTTAAAGAGCAGTCTGTTTGTCTCATATCACATGTACCTCTGTGTTTGCTTGCATTTGTCTATCAAGGATGGAAAACAACGGGGTTACTCCAATGATTAATTATTGCCTACATTTCCCTTAATACAGCTATATACAGGGCTTCTGACTGTATATAAGTTCAAGGTGTCGCTGCTGGAGTGAGGGCAGGACGTTTACTGTACTCGCTGTTTACATGATACATGAACATTAGGACTGCACAATTTTGGGAAAGAATCTAATTGCGATTTTTCTGACAAATATTGCGATTGCGATTCGGTTTGCGGTATTTGTTTTTAAGCGACCCAATGGAAGTTTATAGTAACATTCGGCCATATCTCCGGCTAGGAAGGTCGCATCAACATGCTCCGGTCTCTAGCACCCCTGCAGCCCGAGCTACGAGTGAAAGAGCTAAACTTACATGAAACTTCCGTTGGGTTGCTTTAAAGTCAAGCTTCAGTTTAAGATTCACCCTGTAATAGAAACATGTGATGGAGCATTACTAACCTGACTCAGACGGTTTGTTTCACCAAACCATCTAGGAAAGCTCCATTGGAAGCCATTTGGAAAGGGCAGGCACTTTCAAAAATACTTGGCAGGTGATTGGATCAATCTGTCTATCACCTTCTATCATGGGCCTCTTCTTATTGGTTAACAATGACTGGTACATGTGGAGCACAGCACTTCTGATTGGTGTGGTTGACTGACACACAAGAAAAAAAAGTCAACAAAAAAAAATCGCAGGCTTTGCGATTTGATAATCGCATCATTTTAAATCGCGATTTCGATTTAAAATAGGTTAATCGTTCAGCCCTAATGAACATGTAGGCTATGTTTCTTCAAAAGTTACGTCTTTTTCAATTTTTCAAGACATTGCATCCACCACCAACACTCAGTCCGTCTGATTTGGTTAATCTCATTGATAAATACCATGCTGTGCCAAAAGGGTATCAAGAAGTGAGTTTGGAGCCCTGCTGAATAATCTTTCTTTATACCTTCCCTAACTAAGTGCCATCATCTTTAAACTCCATGCCCTCACTTTAATTTGCAGCTTTTCTTTTTATCTTTTCAATCTAATTTAAGATCAGGGTTTTTCTCTGGGACTTGACAAAGCTTCTCCAGAGCCACTGAGTACGTTATAAAACACTTTTACAGGCTGCATAGTATTCCCCATTACATGACTTATATGCATACCTTCAAAAGATTCTGCTGTAATCTGATGTTACCCTCCCCACTATCTAGTGTCATCTACTAAATAATAGTTTCACTGTAAATACTTTGTATACAAACTTACTGTATATCCCTATGGGAATTTTGTTATGCAACCTGTTGAGGTGAGGTTATCGACTGGCGTTTTTAGAAAGAAGCTGTTTACTGGAACTGGAAACACTGCATTAAACATACTCTGTCTAGATAATAAACAAATAATCTAGTCTAGCGGGCCGCTCATCCTGTCCAACTATGCGTCTGATCAGGACAGTCGTCTCAGGTTAGTACATGTTTGTTAGTGTCCCATCCTGTCTTCATGCCACTGAAAATACGCTTTCCCTGCTGCTTAAACCTTTATGTTTTACTGTTTTCTCAAATGACAATCTAGGACATGCGGATGGACTTGTTAGTGCTGTATGTAAACATGTAGGGGGATTTCTGATGGAAGCTCACTTCATAGCAACCATTCCTTAAAGACCAAAAAAAATGAAAATAACGCAGTAAATAGCAATATTTGGTTACTGAGAATGATACAAGAAAAGGCACTGTATATTGAGTCTAATATTAGTTGAGGTGTGTGTATGAGTATACATAACATGGAGGACAGACGGTGTGAAAACATGAGTAATATTTAAGTGTGAGGCTAATGAAACGGACAGTTTTTTCAGACCAGATGTAATAAACTGTTGACTTTAGCCTGGTCTATAAGATGCTGTGTGTTACACGAATGTGTTGTGGCCTTTAGTTGAGCTTTTGGAATAGGCCTGTCGGTGTTAGACAACATGCTTGTTTTGAAACCGGTAAGTGAGTTCCTTTTGTATCCAGGTGGTTTGAACCTACACCAGGGGTGAAGAATTAGTTTCAGCAGATCCAAATAGTCTTGAAGGATCTTGTTGCCTGAGGCGGGCTCAGCAGGAGAGAAGTAAAAGCGGCAGAGGATTTGTTTGTCATGTCGACACCACTGCTGAGCAGAACCCTTCAGCAGCTGGGTTATCCCTTTCACTGCGAAATGCACAGGAAAATATTTTCGAAGCTAAAGTATCAGAAAAAAGGTTGTTTTACAAGTGCCTCTACATTTTTCAAACATTTTTTTTGTACATATGTATTTATTTATTATGCTTTTAATACAAAATAGCGCATATTAAACTATTGGCCTCTTTGGCATCTTTCTGAGGTGCAGGGGCAAAAACGGTTTCTGTGAAAAAGATAAATTATTTGCATAGATGTGGTAGAGAAGCATCATCAAACTATAATTTAATTTATCATTACACATTTGATCTTGTTGCTTTGATTACTTCACCATCATATTGCAGAAATTGTCAGACATGTCCCCCTGTGGTTGTTATTCACATGAAAACCTGAATGGCTGAAAACCTTATTCCTGACACACAACTGAAACGTTGCATCTTTTTTTTGTTGGTGCAAATAAGAAACTATCATTTTTATCGATACTGCTTTATCTAGGTCTTTATAACCACTTCTTTCTTCTTAACTGAGATCTGTATTCTTGTTCAACATAACAAAAACACTACATTTACCTTTATGGGTGGAGCTGCTTTCTGTCTCTACTCAACCAAACTGTTTAATTTCATATAAAGAAAGTGCCAATGGTCTGACTATGTTCAGGCCAGAAGTCATTGTGTTTTGATGTGATTGACCAGGTTTTTTATAATACAACTATTGTGATACAATTTCAGTCACATGTGTTCATAAATGCATTCAGCCATAACACAAAGTTGTATTACATTTTAACGATATTTTCAGCAGATTGTGTATTACAGTTACCAAATAGATTTTATACAAAATAAATGAACTACATTGTTAATGAGTTGTTGTCCTTGAGTAATTTTATCGAACATTGTCCTTCTCAATATTAAAAATAATAATATTAATTTGGATTATTGTTCATTATTAATGCATACAGTTTTTGAATTTAATAATAATGTTGTCTGTTTATCTCAAATGATGGTAATGATGTGCATTCTTGATTATAATCTTAATTTTTAGAGTTTTAAATGTCCCACAAATCCCTCTGTATTTTGGTGCACAGACCGTACAGGCACAAAGTCTAAAGGCTGTACAGAACTAGAGCCAATTAACTTGTAAATGGCGCCCTCCTTTGGAGATCTCGGGGAACTGATGTGTGCAGAAGAGCCTGCTGGTGCGCAACTGCACTGACCTCACTGACGCATGGGCATGCTGCTGGTGGCATTATCTATTACATGGAAAAGACGATAGGCTTTCATGTTGCAGGGAATGGCATCCTGACAATGTGTTCCATTTCATGACGGGCCTCTGCAATTTGTTCCTTGTAGTTCTCACGAATGCACCATGGGAAATGCACCGGTTATGGTGGACTATAAACATATGATACTTTATTAAAATGCCAGCCCGGGCCTCCGTTACCCAACCTTGCTGTATAGAGCTGAGGGGGGAAGTCTTGCTCAAGGACACGTTAGCAGGGCGGGTGCTGACCCACACTGAGGCCTTGAACCCTGATCTTTGCGGATCGGGGGGGCACCCTTCTGATAATCTCTTTTGTATGCCCAGAAAACCCCACATTTACTGAGGGGGAAGTTCTCGAACGTCGCAGCTGAAGAAGTTGGACCACAAGAGCCCTGTCATTGCTCTCCGGTGACGAGTAGGCCTGTTTTTACACCTTCCTTCTAAATAAGGAAGCGGCCTGACAGACATATGACCACCGACCCAATTTGGGAGCAGCCCCAGTGCCCCATCGCGGCCCACGGCCACTGAACGTCACCAATAAGCTTTCTCCCCTTCCAGTCCAGATTTGACAGTTAGACTATTCCCCCCCAACTCTCCACACACACTTGGTATATTTCCTGCTGTCAGCACCTTCTCTACCCTTGCATTGTCCCAGCGGTCTGCATGATGTCATCCAGGGATGCGTTCGCCCTGGCAATGTTGAAACCGGGTTTTTGGTGAGAGGTAGAGGATTTATTCCGAAGTCTTACCGAGAGGGGGGAAGAGAGAGAGTGTGTGTGAGAGAGAGAGAGGCGCGGAGGAGCTGCAAAACATGGTAATCACCAGCACCAAGCTCACCATCACCATCACCATCACCTCCAGCTCTGCCGCGCACTCTCCCGTCTCCTCTCCTCCTCTGCACCGGGGCTTGCGTTTCATGCCCAAAGCCCTGATCCGCGCTCCAAAAATAACCCTCAGCCAGCATGCCGAAGGAAGCAAAACAAGAAGAGCGGTATTTTTAGGGTCATTAATTTCGACCACGTGGCCCGAAGGTAAACCGGATGGCCGTTGCGCAAAGGCTCCTCGTCAGTATGTCCTGCGAGGCCGGCACGCCGCACTGGACGCTGACCGCGGTGGTTCTCCTGGGCTTTCTGCTGGGGATCGTGTCAGCGTACCCTTTACCGAGCAGCAGGACAAATGCAACTTTATTGGAGAAACGATGGGAGACCCTCTTCTCCCGCTCTGTACTGGGGATCTCCGGGGAGAAACCGGAGCTGAACTGGGAGACTGACTATCTGCTGGGCATCAAAAGAGTGCGGAGGCTCTACTGCAACGTGGGCATCGGGTTTCACCTTCAGGTCCTCCCCGACGGCAGGATAAACGGTGTACATAATGAAAACCAGTACAGTGAGTTAAACCTCCCCCAATGTAATGTAATATACATTAGGAAA